CAAAAGAACACTACACAGTTGATAGAATCGAACACTTGAACTTTGAATTCAAATGCAAAGAATTTACTTTTGGACTAAATTGTCCAAAAGTAAACTCTGAAATGTTCTCGTCCCCATCCTGTGCATTGCTGTAGTGTGTTCTACCCTTCTGCTCAACCCATACAGCGTATATCCTTGATCAATGATCCAAGCCTGTATACTCTGTGATGAGTTTTAGAGAGATGTTGTAGATAGAGACACGTGTGAGATAGACAGAGATTGATACAAGTAGTTGTCGAGATGATGAGACTAGACACCACATGTTTTTCGGAGAGAGATTACATCAGAGAACAGAATATCTAACTATGTTTTAAAGTCAGATATATGTTTGTGTTGATAAAAGGGGTATTGCTAAAAGACGCGAACACCCACGAACACCCCCAAATTAAATTCTGAGTTAGGTAATCGATAGAGCTCGTCGAGCTGAGTATAGTAATCCCTAACGAACACCCAAAAATATTTTTATAGTTTCACTTTTTAAGCATACATTTTGAATGAACACCCACGAACATCCACGAACACCCAAAGAACACCCACGAACACAAAGAAGAAAGGGTAAGAACACACAAAAAAGTGTACCAAATTCATCTCCAGGTTATTCTGGCCTGAGGGTGTGGTGTGGGTGAGCCTACCAGTATCTCACCCTCACCACCACACCCACACCACACCCTCAGGCCAGAATAACCTGGAGATGAATTTGGTACACTTTTTTGGGTGTTCTTACCCTTTCTTCTTTGTGTTCGTGGGTGTTCGTGGGTGTTCTTTGGGTGTTCGTAGGTGTTCGTGGATGTTCGTGGGTGTTCATTCAAAATGTATGCTTAAAAAGTGAAACTATAAAAATATTTTTGGGTGTTCGTTAGGGATTACTATACTCAGCTCGACGAGCTCTATCGATTGCCTAACTCAGAATTTAATTTGGGGGTGTTCGTGGGTGTTCGCGTCTTTTAGCAATACCCTGATAAAAGCATAACATCCATTCTTTTTACTACGTTTCGAGTACGTAGACGAACAGATATCTGCCGGAGTAACACAGCGCAAAACTTACGGCAGAAGACAGGTTAGAACGAAAGTCTTCGTTCACATCACTAATCTCTTCAAAATCGTCCACTGTCACCGGATAAATGTAGGGCGTCCACCTCGATGTACCAATCAAGAAAACGTCGTCTTCAAGAAAGAAAAAATAACTACGTTTGAAAACCATATATTCAGTAAGAGTCAATGACATAAAAGTGATCATACTGTAATCAGTAGACTTCATTTGCTAAGAAAATATTCTTTTTTATATCAAACGTTTGATTTTTAAAAAACAAACGATGAAGTAATTAGTGTGTGTGCCTTATTGTAAGGCGGTTATCATGGTGGTTCTAAAGCAAACTTTTTGCTCTCAGTTTGTAGAGAATTGAATACTGTATCCGATGGCATGTTCGGAGGTATAGTCAAATGTTATTCAGGTACCGAAAAACTGGTTTTATTTGAAAATTTTCGGTTTTAGAAACACTATTTTGTCACTTATTTGACCTCTGAAAACTTCCGTTTCAATACTAAAAATTTAAAAAGCACTCCATTTTGTTCGTTTTAGTCAGGATTTCCAACGAAACGTTGCACGAACAGAACGGATAAAATATTGCGGAGTTATATTTAAAATATTGCAAAGGTTACTTTTTCGCTAATCTTCGATGGAGCTCATTTTGTAAGTTCTATAATCGTGTTCTTCGATATTTTAAGAGCAACAACCTCCTTCACACTCCGTTTTCTGTACTGCTGTAAATATTGCGTGTTTCGATTGAGACTAGTTTTCTAGCAACCATAAAATGTATGCGTTTAAGATTTTTTCTTCTTTTTAGACGCTGTTTTGACTTTTTATTGTTTAGAAAAGTAAAGAATATTTTATTCTTCTTTACACTAAAAAATAGTAAAGTATACCAACCACGTTGTGTTGCTGTTGATACATGGCAAAAATCGTTCTATTTTCTTCACATTCTTATAACTGTTTAAAACCTTAGATCGTATGAAGATTAACAGAAACGTTCTGCAGATCGAACGCTACATATATCAGCTCAACAACACAAGGCGACATAGATCCACCATTCTAACATTAATTTAACCGAGGTTCGGCCCATTTAGATCTTTCTCACACTTGTCATTCGTAGAGGACAGCTTAAAATATATATACAGAATTTTTTCGGACCTAGAGACATTGCCTGTCGAAGTTATACAGTTTTAATAGCTTTTGGCTTTTTCTGTTGTATTTTTAAAAATTTAATAAACTTTTCATATCCTTATTTCGAAATTCATTTTAGTTGCTATCCGATAAAACACATCGATCTATATGTTTACAATAATTTTCGTCAATTCAACTATTGTAATATACACGTCGATGTGCTTTATCGACAGCCGTCAGCTGATGCTACTGATTTATATCGTTTATTACGAGCGTTGCTTGACAAATTTAAAGCGACTGAGGATCGGATCGATAGACAATACCGTTTAGAAACTCGTACGTAACATTCTGTATTACGTGAGCGTGAGACAGTGCCTTTCACCCTTGTCTCACATCATGTTTCAGTTATCAAACGAAAATAGAGGAAATATTTGAATGAAGCCATCGTGCGCATCATTCATTAGCTATGTGATAGCTATGTGCAATTTGTCACGTTTTATAAGCGGAACATATTTATTGCCCTTGTCCGATACGTCTATAGGATGATCTTCATCGAAGAAGAGTTGTTGAGAATGATTGAGCTGAACATCTATTTTGTTGTTACTCGCCTCTACTGTGCTAGTCGTTTCTCGCATTCTATATTGTCTCACTTCAGTCTTATCACAGTCAAACACATAGAAAAATATTTGATCGTTTCTCTTTGAGGCCACTTCGACAAGATCATCTCCATACGCATCGGTCTCTATAATCGCAGATATTCACAATTAGATCTTTTGGATAGTGCAACATATCAATTCAATTTTGTTATTCCTTTTCCGCCGACTATCACTAGATCACTTGCTGTCCAAAGCTTCTATCCCACAATCTGATCATCAACGCTCTAGATAGTTTGATTATTATTCACATAAAAACCTGATAGAAAGTTAAGAAAAGGATTTTAACTTTTTCAGGAAGAGATCGATCCTCTACAAAAAAATTCAAGAAGCAATAGCTGATTTCTTTCCGAGGAAAAACAAAAATAGAACCTAGTTTGTATCGAGTATTTGATGAAGTTGTTTTTCAAATAAAATTAATCTGGAAGATTATTTTTCATTTGCACAAATGAATAGTTTCGAATAAAACAGATAGTTTAAATTGAATTTTTTATTCGGAATTTATTGAAAGTTTCTATAATCTTTGCTTTAACAACCAAAATGCTGAATAAATAGTTAAAATATTGATTGATAAGAACGTATTTTATTTCGATTCGTCGTTGTGTGTTCCATGTTCTAATTTTCCTTATGATTCTTATCTTACATAAAGATCTATCTCAGACATTGCTAAGAAGTATTAATCAACCTTTGCAAAAACAATTCGAATATTTTGATGAATATCTTTCATATCCTTCATCGCGTATTTCTATTGAATATTTTTCAAACTTTACTGGTAAAATCTGTATGAGTGATTCTCTAAGAAAGAATTTTCTTGATTATCTATTCATTAACATTGGAAGTCTTTTATGGAATCAAATCATAACGTGCCAGTCAATTTTCATCCGATAAAGATATATCATGACCAGAGAGTTGAGGCTTGGATACTAATAAGGGGATAGATCAACTTCTGTTCAGCATATTCACACTTAATAAAATTAGAGAAAACAAATAGCACGAATTAGCTTATGTAGATGCTTTCGCTCTCGACAAGGGAAAAATATCTCAGTTAACGGTTTGTATGAGTAGCCAGAATATAAATTTCTTTCTCTTTATTTGAAGATCATACAACAACATTCACAAATATTTGAACGCAGTCAAATACCGACGCCCGAGCAACGTTACAATGCCATTGTAACTGTTGTAAATGATTGTGATTATAATAATCGACTAAATCGTTTATGTTCATTAATTGATTTTCATATTCAAGAACAAGAAATGTTATCGGTGACAATACGAACCTTATCGACACCGAAACAAATACGTGGTTCACAAATACCATTAGTTAATGGACGCTCCTGCTCTTAGCAGTGTTTCCCCTTGCGTGGGAAGCCAGGTGGCCGTGTCCAACTGGAAAGACAGAAATTGTTTGAATCAAATCAAACTATGGGGAACAATGTTAGAAGAAGTGGGCTACAGTTTCACTTATGCCTCAGTCCAATTACGCTATACATAATCAGAATAAAAGTTCCTACTTTTCGAAAAGTTATACATGCTCTAAATACGTCTTTTGTATGGATTGCTTCGCAATTATTGAATGAACTAACGCCTGATTTATGCGCCATTATGAACTTGATGAAGGCAAATATACGCTGATTAGACATTATAGGTAGCTCAAGTTTAAAGTAATCATGATCAAGAAATGGTTTGGACATCAATTTAACTTCAAACTTCATCGGGTTCAGAATTGAGCACAAATTAGGCATCAAGAGAAAAAATGGTCAAATGTTATACCAGTTCCAGAAACATTTCTAGCAAAATTGACGAAATTTGTTCAAGATGGTCAGCTGATTTCCCCGACTGCTACAATGTAATGCATCTCTGCTCTACTTT